TGTCCCAGAGAGCAGTGCCATGGATCACAGAGAACAAGGAAATAGCATGGGAACCTTCTGCCAGAAAGCAGAGTAAGGCCCCAATATTATACAATAGGCTTTAATATTAATAATAAAATTCCTTAGCCCTCAGCATAGAAAGTCTCCCCTCAACCTGCTCGGTGAGATTTCAGAATTGGGGTGGGGGGGCTCAGGTACATCCGGGTGTCTTCCATCCTTCCCTTCTAGAGTTGAAGTGTTTACTGCCAGCTGCCCTGTCTCTTGTCTACTCCTGTGTGTGTTTCATGTTATGAGAGGAGTTTGGAGCTAATTTACAGTTTTATACCATGCATCTCTAGAACAGGAGAAGCCACATCTGGATATGATAGAGAGGAGACGATTACATGAAGTCTAGAGATCTGGGATTGGGAATGGGTGTAACAGTTGAAGGAATCTTTGGAGATGGGTTGAGTATGTTGTGTATGGTTAGAAAGAAGTCAGCATCTTTTAGTAATTACAAGAGTAGACTGGTGTGGCAAGTGGCTGGTCATGAAATATCCTCATGGTTTTCCATATATGGCTTGTTTTGGCTATGTGCCATGTGCAGAGATGATGCTTGATACATACTAGCTGATGCCCAGGAGCAGGCACAAATTCACAAGTTCTGCAGGCATTACTGTATAATGTGATAATCTCTTAATTGGTCTCTAGGTGACTATGCAACACAGCCCATTCTCTCCCTTCATCCCTTATCTCTAGTGAGAATAAGAAGTCACTGATACAGGAGGCCATTGGGACTACACAGCTAATCTGTACTTTCAGTACCACCCAGGTCACCTTGACTAATGTAAACTCTGGAATTTCCAAACCAGTCTCCACATTATATAACAGAAATACCAGTGTCAATTTCTTATGAGACTGTATTAGAATGTATGTTACAGAACTACAGGTAGAATAAAATATGATGTAACTAACGAGAATATTCTTACTTTGCAGTTTGACCTTAGTCCTCATAAATTCTTTCAGCTCTTAAACATTCAAGCGGGCAGTGTCCAGAAATATGTTGCTTTGCTATTGTAATATCATCTCGACATCTCTTTCATAAATATCAGAATTTCCTTGGATGTTAATTCATTTTTTCAGCTCCTAACTTCAATGCACACTCCCCAGTCCCTTCCCTTGTTACTGGCCAACCCACACCTAGATCACAGCACATTCAATGTTAATAAGGTGAAGGCAGGAGGGAAATGAATAACTCACAGGGGCATGCCAGCCATGGGAGGTAACATAAACAATGCTCGTGGGCAGGGTTCGCTTTCACCCTTGTCCCTGGCTGCTGATGTATATGGGGCAATCCTGGCAAACAAATACACAAACAGCTTCAGTGTGAGGAGCTGAAAGAAGGTTGACCAGAGTGTGCAAAATACCAGCCTGATGCCAGTCAGGGTGAAGGAGGAAAAGAAACCCAGAAGATTGTAGGTCATAGTTACCAGGCAAAAGTTGTGAGCAAAGACAGTTTGGGTCCTAGGAAACAGAAAGATAAGTCCAACCTGGGGAATGCACACATACTCAGTAAAGGGAAGTTAGTTGTTCTGCCATAGGAATTTTGAATGGACTAGGAAGATAAACATCATAAACCATACAGGGCTGACATCAGAATGTAAAGAGAAAAGACTCACTTTCATCAGCCCTTTCGGGGAAAGTAAATGCTTACCTGCATCAAGAATATTTGTTCTAATCATCATTAAGAGTAACTTTGTTTAGCTGGGCATTGGGGGCACATGCCTATAATCCCAGCACTCTGGAGGCAGAGGAGGAGGATCAGGAGTTCAAAGCCATTAATGACAGGATAATGAGTTCAAAGATAGCCTGAACCACATGCAGCCCTGTCTCCAAAAGCTAAACAAAACAATAATGACTTTACAAAAGCAGCATTTGTGCATCCCTGTCAGTGAAAGTGAATTTTAAGCTTAGATTTTAAAATTTAAGTATATTAGACTGAACTCCTCTACCCAGCAGCTTCTGCGGTCAGCACCCAGCTCAGACGATGCACTGTGAGGTCTTGCCTCAGCTTCATATAAAGAAAGATGACTTTGTTCTATAAAAATTTCCCAAGGAGTAGAGTAGCAGCAATGATATGATCATCACTTGTGATCACATGCATATGATTTTACTGTATATAACTTTGTTTAGCTTACAGCTTAGAAAATACATACAAAACTTAGCTGGATTTTCACTGGTGTCATTCACAAGTCTTGATAAGTTATGAAGGTTAACTAAAAGTTAATGCTGGTCTAGCCAGGATATCCAAGTGCATATGAACTTTAAACAAAGATTTTTTAAAACCACACACTTCTTAAACATTCATGTCTTAGCTTATGTTTCTGTTAGTGGGGCTAGAGTGAAGGGAAGGAAGGAAAGAAGAATTAGCACAGGCATTACCAAAGAAGGAAAAGACTAGCATGTCTCTCTGGATAGCCCAGGTTGGCCTTTAAGCTTGAGATCTTCTTGCCTCAGACTCCTAAAGAGTGAGCATACAAGACTGTGCCACCACATCTGGCATACAAAACTTGTCAAAGGACCAAAAATCAAGAAGAAATAAGTTATTAGCCAGAATGGCTATCCTCAAGAACACACACACACACACACACACACACACACACACACACACACAATAATGAGTTCTGGTAAGGATTTGGAAAAACATATCTTAATTACATTCCTACATCATTGGTAGGAATGTAAATTAGTCCAGCTACTGTGGAAATAAACATGAAAGTTCCTAAAAATCCCATACATAAAACTTTAATGTGACATATATATATATATAAAATTGTGTGTGTTATTCAGCCATAATTCATTATTTAGTGAAGTCATGTTTTTTGTAGGAAAATGGATGCAACTGGAAATCACCATATAAAGTGAAATATGCCAGATGCAGACAGACAATTATTGCATGTTTTTCTCATATGTATAATTTAGAAGATAACCTGGAATCAGAAAGGGGAATGCCACAGAAGAGGAAGAGAGTCGAGGGAGGAGACGAAGATAGGAGGAGGTGCTAAGGGCTGGTGATATGACCAAAGTATGTTATGTGCATGAATGAAAATATGCAAGGTTGGAATTAATTGGTGAAAATGTTTTACTTATTGAAATTCACATTTGATGTAACTTTGCAAGTCATGCCCTTAAGGACCTGAGCCATGCCTTTGAAAATACCCCTTTAATGGAGCTTAAGTGATGAAAGGTCAACATCAGCTGTAGATCATTTTGAGGTGCTAAGTCTGTTCAGATCAATTTCTATATGAAATGCACAGCTTCATAAATTACTTTAAATACATCTCTATGTGTTGTGGATTATGACATCCATCCATTTATTCTTCTGCTCATATGCATTTGCTGAGCTACTGTGATGTTTGGGCAGCCTTCTGTGCCTTACACACAGCAGGAGCAAAGCAGGCATTCTCTGAGTCTCCTATTGTGTGTGTGTGTGTGAGAGAGAGAGAGAGAGAGAGAGAGAGAGAGAGAGAGAGAGAGATGAAACATTATACCATGCCAGAGTTGGAAGAATGCTGATGGTTTTTTAAGTCTTGGTGAACTATATAATAGAAAGATTGCTTTAAAATGCTTCACAAGTTTTCAGTATCAGTTTTAGGCAAATTGATGGAAGAAAATCGAGTCATCTTAGCAAGGAGAAATTTTATTTATGTCTTCCTAGTATCCCACAATCTTACCAACCTGATAAGCAGAGGCTGGGACTGGACACCACGTTTAGCTTCTTGCTTTCCTTTACTACTGATTTGCAAACACTTCTCTTCAGAAAAATAGTTTTGAATAAGGTATGTGGGCACACACCTTTAATTTCAGCACTCAGGAGGCAGATGCAGGTGGATCTCTGTGAGACTGAGATCAGCTTGGTTTACATAGTGAGTTCCAGGCCAGCTGGGGCTACAAGGATACTCTGTACCACCCCCCCACCAAAAATAAATAAATTTAAAAATAAAATAAATATGGTTTTGATAGCTGAAAATCTTATAGCCCATATAAAATTAAAGTTTTTATTTTTTGACAATTTCTCTGATCACTGATGAAATTTGTATGCATAGATCTTCATCTACATGAGGGTCTGTGAGATGAGGCTGAATATCATGTACATTTTATGACACTTGAAATATGTTAGGAAATGGATCTCTAGAAAGGTTGCACTTTACCACTAGCATCTCAATAATATGCAAGATATTCTGTGGACTTTAATTTTCAGCTCGAGTCCCATCTTGTTGCTATTTTAATTTTCTTTCTTTCGATTTCTTTCCCCCCTATTTTTTGTGCTATTTTAAAATATATGTTGCTCTTTTGTGATGAAGTTGAGTTTTTAAACATTTTTGTTGTATTTTCCCTGTTATTTTTTTCTCAATTACGAGGTATTTATGTATGAAACACATATTTGCTGCATTTTTTCCAAGAAGTAGTTTCTGTATTCACAGTTTTGACATTAGGAAATATTTATGTACTCAAACTTATTGATCTTTTCCTTGTGATTTCCTTACTCTTCTGCTTACAAAACGTTTCAGATCCTAACATCAATAATACACATATTCTTTTAGATATTTTTCAAATGTCTTAAGTTTCATAGACTAGCTTAATGTACATGTATTTATTTTGGCAAGATGGTACTTTAATTTGGATCTTTTCCAATAGGTCACCATCTGAATCTTGTTTACTAATAAAACAATCCTCTTTTCCATAGGAATGTGATGCCTTGCTACCTGTCAGGTTTACACACAGTTGCTATCTCTTTTGGAACTTGCAACAATCCGTTCTGCTTTAAAACGTTGTGTGGGGAGTGATGATTCTGGTACTTTTTTGTCCCAAGTGTTAACAAATTGCATTAATTCTTGGTACTGTGCTTCGGGAATCAGGAGGAGGGAGGAGAGAAGGGGGAGAAAGCAACCTGCGGAGGCATTTAGGACCCAGGGGAAAGCCAGGCTCGGTATAAGGACAGAGTCTCTGGTGCACACGCCTCCTACCAAAATCACAGCCCGGTGCAGCCCCGGCTCTCATTCACAGCTTTCTAGAGAAATCTGCGATCCAACTGCCAGGATAGGGGATCTCACCCACCCAGTTCAGCAGCGAGGACACCTGCAGAAACACATTCCCAAAGCAAGCCTGGGCGGCGGTGTGAAGGTATTTGTTGCCTTTTTCCTTCCTTCTGTGTTCGCAGAGCCTCCCCGCCTGTCCCCGCTCTTATGCCATGGCTGCGGCGTTTCAGCACTTTGGTGCGTGGACAGCTCTCATCTGCAATCCCTCTGCACTCCATCCTTCCGTTCCCCACTCTTCACCTCCACCTTGTCCATCCTCCTCCTGCTACGCCGCCAGCCTGCGATCCCCAGCCATCAGCACCCTATCTCCACCATCACCGTCATCATCTCCACCATCACCGGCGCGGTAACTACAGTCCACACAACTGTGTCTTGTCACTTAGACAAAGCCTGTGGTCAGCAGGGTAGAGGAAGGAGCTCAAGTTCGCAGTCATAGAAAGGAAAGTTCAGGTGGACGAACCCCTGAAAACAAAGAGAGAAAGGGAGAGTGGAGGCAGCAGAGAGAGACCCCGGCTCAGGGACAGATGGGGACTTGCCAGACACCAGCAGTTAGGCAGCTGCCTTTCAGCAGATTAGGGTCTGTTTAGTTCAGGAAATTAACATGGCCTGAGGCGTAGTGTGATTCCAGAAAGAGAAATGTTAGCTCAGCCCAACATGCTGGTTTTCCAATGGAGAGTCACCAGGAAGCAGGGTGGGGGTGATGGGTGACTCATAGCACCCACATGGCTGTTTTCCTTCCTAGGCATTTACTGTAGAAACTCTGGAATTAAGTTTTCTGTTTTTTTTTTTTTTTTTTTTTTTAACTGAAATATTTTGTAAAATGAGAACCTCAAAGGTTAACTCTGTGGTCAAAATCAAAATTAAAATGATTGTAGCAATAACCTAACAAATGGGGTTCTCACTGGGAGATTCTTTTCTCTCAAATGTCTCCTCTTGTGTCCTTATTTTAATTTCCAATCATAAACCTCTCTCAGAAGCAGAACAGATAGATCCCTTGCCCAAATGGCCAAAGTGGTAATGATATTCAGAGCAGATGGTCTGGCTTTGTTCATTACTAGTCAAGGACTGGCTCAGATTTGGAAGGCGAGATTTTTGTGTGCTTTCTCAGTAATCAGGCGCTAACACCATTTTCCTGTAATAGTAAAGGGGGATAGAGCGCAGAAATGGAAAAGGCATTTTATGGAACTGGTTTGCCTGGCTCTGCTCTCACAGTGGGATCATCTTCCATCTCAGCCAAACGGGAGTTGGACCATCTTTCAAATAGCTCATTAGTTTGGACCTGATGGTCTAATCCTAGGTCATGGCATCTATTAGCCAGGGTCATGTGTTTTATAAGAGCTAACAAACATCAAATAAGTGCTTGTGCCTGACATAAATAAAAATACGTGATAAGTGCTAATTGAATTGATTTTAATGGAACTGCGACGAATTGTGGTTTCTTTTGTTGTTGTTGGTTTGGTAAGTTGTTTTTCATAAAGTAAGGCTCTTGATTTAGATGTAGTCTATCTAAATGAAATGTCAGGTCACATGTAACAAGAAAGTTTGAACCAAAGCACAGAAAAGCTTCTTAACAATTACCGTTGTGCATTTATTCTGCATCTTGGAAAAGGGACATTGAAGCAAGTTTTGACCTTATTTATCTTAGAGACATTATCCAAAATAAAAAGATTCACAAACAGATGTATTAAGGAAGATGTTTTATGGAAGAATTCATTCCTAATAATCTTCATGAATGAAGAGTGGTAGCATCATGTCAAAAGTTTACTTGTTACTAATTGTATGAACACAGCATGATTCCATTTGTTTCTAAATTTTACTCATTTTAAAACTCAAACCAAGAAAAGCAGTGAAAATATTTGGCAAAGTGTATTTCAGGGAAAACAGTTTAGTCTTCTACCTACTGTCCTAGACTGATAATATGCACAACAAATAAACTGCCCAAGTCCCCGAGACACAGTCTTAAAACTTCCTTATCTATGCACAGAGAATGGGCCAGCCAGGTAATTTTAAATAGTACAAGCTGCCAATCTGAGCTGCTCTACCAGAAGCCCAGGCCAGGAATCCAGAGCCCCAGAGCTGCTGTCTTCCTGTGCTTAATGCAATTTCCTGAGGCTGGAGAAATTTCAAAGCAATGCTGCTTCAGTGAGATTTACAGGCATCTGTCTCAGAAGCGATGCTTTCCCCTGACTGAAATATGCTGAGCTTATTAATTTTTATAGAGTGCCACTATTGTGGCTTCAACATTTATTTTTTTCTAGCAAGGGAAAATATTTTTCATATTTCCAATAACAGAACTTTCTCATTTTAAAAATGGATTTAAAGGTGAGCAGGAACCATTTCTCAGCAGAGTGCTGCCGTACATTTTTGTAGACACGCTCACAGAAGGGTGCAACATTTTAGAATTGTGCAAAGCTGGAAGGTCCTTCATTTCCTAAAAGATAAAATCTTGAACTCTTAGAACTTGTTGGAATTTATTGTGTCTGCTTACATCTTCAGGCTTGTCAAGAGACAGCCTATTATCTCTGAGCAATCTGTTCCTGACTTCGCAAACTCCCTTGGTGCAGAGCCACCCTTCATATAGGATTCCAGTTGACTTTGGTGTTCTCTGCTGCTGTTGTAACTGTGATTTGGAAGAGGAGGTGACAAGAAGAGCAATGATAAAAATCATGGAGTTTGCTTACATGCAGTTCACCTAGAAGACCCTCAGTTCTGCCAAAAGAATCCTTTTTTTCTTCCTTTTACATCTTCTCCCAAATAGTCATGGTTTGGGTCTGGATTTCACTGGAATAAAGTTTCAGAAGGCCCACAATTGAATGGCCATATGTCTGAAACCCTTGTCAGCCCCAGGTGTCCATTATTTCTCTAGTGAAAAATGGACTTAATTTCCAATCCAAGTTTTTATTGGTTTAAAGAAAGTTTATACACTGCTCGATTCATCGTGGAGGTAGAAACCAGCTGGCCAGATTCTCCCTGCTCCATAAAGAGTCTTCATGTATCCAGGCATAAGTTCACCTTCTCCCTTACCTCCTTTCAGTCTCCTCAGTCAGGTGTCCTGTACTTTGCAGATCTGTTCTATGACAGGAAGTATTATTGAAAGTGCCCTTTATGGTAAGCTAATTTCCTATGAGTTTTTGTTCTTGACTTCTGAGCCAGGAAGAATTTCCCCACGTGTGTTGGGGATGATGCATTCTGTGTCCTGGACCCTTTCAGCCAAATCTTCAAATTTTGGAGATAGTGTAGCTGTCTGGCTATTCCTTTCCCATCGCTGTTCCTTAAAATAGCATCACCCCAATTCAGCTACTATTATTACTCAAATGTATTATGTAAACTTCTACACGTTTATGTGTGTCACATATGCAGGTTACACAGTGTTCTGTATTTTGCAGTTTTGGAAGAAGCAGGAGCCAAGCTGTGGATCATGGGGGTGGTTGAAGGCTCAAATTATCAGCTTGATAAACAAATTTCTTGAAGTGGAATCAACATAAGAGGCAAAATCACATTTTCTCACTCTTTTCCTTTCTTTCTCTCCCTTCCTTTCTTTCTTTGTCCTTCCCTTCTCCTGTCCCTTCCCACCTCTCCTCTTCTTCCTTCCCCTTTTTCCTTCTTCCTTCTTTCCTTTTTTTTGGTTTTCATATAGCATGTAATCATGTGTGGTTGTAATTAATGGAGGATATGACAAACCATCATGATTGTCATTGTCCATGGGAACGAGCACCCCGGGGATGATCCCACCCTTTTTACTAACAAATGGACACAGCTGTCCACAAACATTGTGAACTTTGCTTCATAGGCAATTCACCCACCTCCTCAGCACTCCTGTGTCATCGCTAGTCCTCCAGACCACTGCCTCTCAAACATTCATGTGCATGTAACTTGCCTGGGGATTCCATTGGTCCTTCAGCAGGTCTGTGTGCATCTCAGTAGTTTGTGTTCCCGGTAACCCCCTAAGTTCTGAGAGTGCTACTGATTCATGAACTACCTTTGGTAAAAATGGTTTATTGGTGCTCTACATAGTGAGTTCAGGTCAGCTGAGACTACAGTGAGACCCTGTCTCAAAAAGACAAAAAAAACAAAACAAAACAAAACAAAACAAAACAAAAACCATAAGCCTGGCGTGGTGGTGCATGCCTTTAATCCCAGCACTTGGGAGGCAGGGCAAGGGGATTGTTGTGAGTTCAAGGCCAGCCTGGTCTATATAGTGAGTTCAGGTCAGCCGTGACTACAGTGAGACCCTGTCTCAAAAAGACCAAAAAAAAAAGGTTTATTGGGTCTGGAGAGATAGCTCAGCGGTTAAGAACACTGACTGTTCTTGCAGAAGACCCAGGTTTGAATCCCAGCACCCACATGGCAGCTAACAACTGTCTGTAACTCCAGTTCCAGGGGATTGGACACTCTCTTCTGTCCCCCTCAGGCATTGCACAACATGGGTGCACTTACCTACATGCAGGCAATACATGCATACACATAAAAATAAAATAATGAATAAAATATTTTTTAAAAATGGTTTATTGATACATAATTATATATATTTATGGGACACGGTATAATAATTCAATACATGTACACATATGTAATGATCAAATCAACTTAATTAGTTTGTGTTGAGAACCTTTAAAGTCTTCTACCGATTTTGAGGTATAAAATAATTATAAACTATACTTGGCCCACGGTGCTATGGAACATGGGAGCTTATAGCTCCTACCCAGCAGTATTCTGGCACGTGTCTAACATCTCTCAATTACCCGTTTTCCCTCTGCTTCCCAGCCTCTACTACTGTTTTGTTCTTTCACCAGATCAACCTTTTGGTCTCTTACATATGAGGGAGAAGGTGGTGTTTGTTCTTCTGTGCCTGACTTATTTCATTCAATGTAAGGTCTAGACCACCTTAAACTGCAAGGATGGCAAACAGTTTGCCACCTGCTTAAATTTCCCATTTTTAGGTCTGATTAATAAGTGATGATACTCCGAAATGAAATAAAAAAATCATTCCAACTTCTGAGACGGTAAGGGCTCAGAATTACATGGTCAACTGGGGAGAAAGTTGTGCTGGTGGCTTCTCCCCTGTGCTCCCTTATTTCAAGGTGA